GTGGAAAATACCATCTGCTCAGTCTCAGCAGGAGCCCACCTCAGGGCAGTGGAGACCTTCCCAGGGGTGCATGGCAGCACCTGGACTCCTCTACCTTTCCTTGGAGCTGTGCAGTGGCTGCAGATGTGCCTGCAGTTCTCCAGCATCTAGCCTCTCAGAAGCTGCTCTAGCCTCTGATGCCTGAGATTTCGCATGGGCTCCCTTTCTGGGGCGATGTCTTGGGCAACCTCCAAGAAGCTCCTATGGTAGGCCTGAGACTTGCGTGGGTGGGGAGGTTCTCTTATAGCATAGATTGTAAAAGCTCAGCTTGGAGAGTGGACCCTTGAGGGCTTCTCTCTCTTTCCCCACGTCCAGGTGCTTCTCCCACTGTTAGCCAGTTTCTGGTTGGGCAAGTTGCCCTGAACCCTCTTCCTTACCCACTTTTGGTGCTTCCTGTCACATCGCTGGTGAATCCTAGCATTTTCTACTAGACGATCTGTTTGAAACATGAGATCTGCTAACTATACTGGTTCCTTTCCGTGGAGGGGGCACATACCACTTGTGCCTAGTTGGCTATCTTGATCCTATTCAGAAGGCATAACTTTCCTTTTACAATAGCCTCTATGTGCAAACTCAAAACATACATAATTGAATGCATGTACTGAATCAGTTGCTAATTAATTTAATAATGTAATGTACAATGTGCGATACAACTATTGCCATTAATATTTTCAAAAAATTACCATGCTCCTGAAGGAAACCAATCTAGACATCTGGTCTTTCATTAAATTGAAAAATATTTACTGAATGCTAATTATGTGCCAGACTCTGTTTGGTACCAAAACTATGTGGGGAGAGCAGCAGGATGTAGTCCCTGTACCCATAGAGCACACACCTCACTAATGGAAATCTTGTATTAGGCCAAGCATTCTTGAACAGTGTTCTAATACCCCTCCCTTTTAAAGTTAAATAGTTTAAGGAAACAAATTCTTATAAAATGGAAAACTTTAATTGTTTAAAGCAAAGGCACAAGTAAACATTTCAGGTTATCATACAATGTTACAATAAAAAATTCCAACAGGAAAGTGAAATACACCATAACTTTGCATCTCTGTAGTATATAAAGTGTATTACTCTATCATCTCTTCTTTGGAGTGAAAAGAAGGGATAGGTAGATCAATGGATATGATGCAAAACTTGAATTATAAATAACCTCTACTATACTTTTAGCCAGAAATTTTAATTTCAGTAGAATTAATTTTAAAAACATTATTTTATTATTGATAGAGCAGTAACTTTCAAGCTAAAACTCATTGTTTTAATAAGTAAATCACTGATTTCATGAAATGTTAGTTTTCAGTGCCTGGTACTACACGTTGATCAAGCTGGTCACGAAAGAGCTTTACCAAAACATAATTCATATATTTTATTTTAAATCTGAATATTATAGTGCATTATGTAAAAGATAAGTGAGAATGGGGAATTATATGATTTCTTATGATGTCAGAAATAATGTATTTAAAAAGGTCTAGTCCTTATTTTCAATCAAGGGCACTGTCTGGAGAATAACACACTGTTTCATGTTCAGAGCTAAAAAAAATGTTTTTTTCCTTCCAATATAACTGGCCAGTTAGTTGGAATGTGATGTTTCAATTAGTTAGCAAACATTGACTGCCTACTATCTAGCAAAAAAAAAAAAAAAGGCAGATATATATGTAAAGTTACTTCTTTGACTTCGTTTTCCAGGAAGAAAAAACTTATCACTCTTTTTTGTTGTTTGTTTTTAGAGACAGGGTCTCACTATGCTGCCCAGGCTGCAGTGCAATGGCTATTCACAGGTGCAATCATCGCACACTATGGCCTGAAACTCCTGCAGTCAAGCGACCCTCCTGCCTTAGTCTTCTGAGTACTGGGACTATAGTTGGGAGCCAATTTTTAAAAAGGCTATTGAAGCGTTTTTTTTTTTTCTTTTAATCTAAAAGGTGTCTGTTTCATTACCTCAATGTAATTTCCATTTTATTCAGATTATACCCTCTGCTCTCAGCATTTGAATCCGGGCTGGCAATCACACCAGGAAGGTAACTGTCCCAAGAGAGCCAGTTTTCCTATTGTGAGTCATTTCATTCCCTTTTCTCCCCTAAATATTCCTCAACTCTAAGTGTTTAACTAAATAACATTTAAATAACAAAAATATCAGGGATTAAATAAAATCAAGAAAACATTGCTCGATGCCTCAAAGTCTTGTGTATTTGAGTCAAAGATCTTGAATGAAAAGGGTGATGTTTCCAGTTTCTCATTGTCCAGATTACATGAGTATCAACAGATTAAGGTTCATTTACCATCATTCTTTTTTTTTTTTTTTTTACTCCACTGGGCAAGAAATCTAGGCCACGATTCTTTTATCACCTCATTTCTAACCAGAAATGGTACATAGAAATTCCCTAAGAATATCTTTCAAAGTTTCAAATTCAAACATGATTCTAGAAAAATGTTGTTATTTTAAAAAGTCAAATTATAACATTTACTCAATGAAGCATACCCTACAGGTCAATGATACATGCTTTAAAGAACAGAGCTAAGATTCTGGAATTCTTTCTTTTCTTTCTCCTTCTCCAAATATATAGATATCCTTCCAAAATTTTCTATGGAATCAAAGACTTCGTTTTGATAGCTGGCACACTTTGCATTTTGAATAATTTTGAGTATAATATCCATGAAATTTTACATTTCCAAATCATTAGCTCAACAGCAAAAGCATATGGTTTGATCTTCTATTGAGCCAAACTGAAGAAGTAAACATGAATTTTAGTGTATCTGGATCAAGAGTTAGCAAACTTTTTCTGTAAAGGGCCAGACAGTAAGTATTTTAGGCCTTATGGGCCAGATAGTGACAGCTACTCAACTGCACCATTGTAGCACAAAAGCAGCCATAGACAATATATATTAGAAAATGAGTAAGCATGGGCGTGCTCCAATAAAACTTTATTTATGAATACTGAAATTTGAATTTCATATAATTTTCATATGACACAAAATATTCTTTTTAATTTTTTCCCCACTGTTTAAAAAAGTAAAATCAGGCAGCTGACTAGAATTATCTCATGGGCTGCAGTTTCATGATCCTTGGTTTAGATCATTCTGGTTTCTTTATATGGGGGGTCAAAGCAATAATGTGGCCATGAATCATCTCACTTCACTTGGGCATTGACAGCCTTTGGGCTGACAGCAAAGAACCCCAAAAGAGAATCCCCAAAGCACCCCAGACAATTCTAGGAGTAGTGTCTACATTCATAAACTGTGCAGAGCTTATGAATGTTGATATTCATATATCTATATCTATCTGTAATTATATTCAAGAAACACATTTAAATCAAATTCATTTGAATCACAGTGTCAGAAAAGCAGGAAATTGAGAAATTAATTCACTAGCTGAACCTTTTCAAAAGCTTTGGTGTTAGAGAGATCTGGATTAAAATCTTGGCCCTGCTACTTACTAGCTTGTGATCACAAGTATATTACTTAACCACTAGAATTTGGCTTGGTGCTATGGACAGACACAGAAGGAATGTTTTTGATCTCATTTCTCAGGCAAATAGCTACAAAGGCCTTACTGGAGGCTTAACTCCTGGTTTTAGAAAGAAAATTACCTTTGTCTCTTCTAGTCCATTTTATCATATACATTTTTTTCCTGCATGTAACATACTGTGCAAAATTGTGCCTCCACACATACAGAATTCTACTTTCCTCTTATCCTCCAAGGCTATTTTTTTCATAGGCTGCTAACAAAAATGAGAGTGGAAAGTACCCACTCAACACATTCCTGTCACCCTTCCATAGTGTAAGTATAATTTGGGTGTTTCCTCTAATTTATGACAGGCAATGACAGGGTATTCCATTTTCTAGGAAAAAACAGTCTAAATGATAGAAAAGGAAAAACTGATAGGAAAGGATTCTTATGGCTTTATCTGTAGATTCAAAACTAGAGAATCTGAAGATAATGTTAATAGATTATTTGTAGATATAGCTGCTATGCATCTTGGACCTTAGCCCATTACTTAAATTATATTAAGTAGAATATTAGCACTACGTACTATGTGCTATAATCTCTTTAACCATGAAAAACTCATTAGTTACATACATATGAAGTAAAAGATTTCACCAATAGTGTTTTTGAACAGGCATCAATTAAGTTATGGACCTGTTAGTGTTGAATGCTAAGCAAAATGCTAAAGCTCTTAAAATATTAGTGTTTGGTTTTATTTTTACTTTTCAATTTACTTTTAACCTATTATTTACAAAAGTCCTGTTAGAATGCTGAAAGCAGTCATTTTGCAACATGTATGGTCCTCATATAAAATGATGTTCAGTGGTAGGTGGTGTAGAGTTATAAATAAGTACAAATGAACAATATATTTGCAGTTAACCTACTAGTCTGGCCAGTGACTAACACACGAAAGCATGATATGCATACAGAAATTAAAAATTAAAACAAAGCTTAAAACTCTGAAAACAGATAACCATTAATTTTCATTTATGAAATTATACAGAAAAAGGTTTTGTGTCTGGGAACTTTCAGTAGCCCACTAATAAAACAGTAATTTTTCATGGAAAAAAAAATCCCCCAAACACAGAACACAAGGTAAAATAAGATGTATATCTTGGTCAAATGTCTGTGGACAGCCACCTTGAAAACAAATTGATAAACATAAATATACAATTTGTTCATGGAGCATAAAATATTATACAAGAGCAGTTTTGTCTGAAGAAAATAATTTTCCATAGTTTTGAACTTCAAAATGGTTCCCACATTTACAGTTGCATTTTCTAAACAAGAAACATTAATATTCAATAATACTGTTAGGATCTTATTTTACCCATTAACCATATTCCAGTCTACTTTATGGCAATGGTAAGTCAGTGGTGAAGATTTGGCAAAGATTAAAAGGCAGATACGATTATAAAATATATATATATATATATATATGTACATATGAAACAGATATGTTCCCCAAATCCCTAAACATATGATAACTGATCCCTTAAAGAAATCCACAGTCTAGGTCACAGTGATGGTCAGACAGTGGTTGAGTACGACTCTCTTCTTGGGGGCCACTCTTTTTGAACAACTCCATCGCCCTCTCTGGTCTCCAGCACACTGTCTTCTGTTTCACTCTCACTACCATCTGCCACAGCGGGGCCCAAAGACATTGGGCCAGATTTTCTGTGCAAAGGAAAACCAATGCCACTTTCCTGTAAGGAATTATCCATAAAATCTTCATCGGAGGAATGGAATGATTCATCATCTCCTATTAAATGGTTGACAATGTGGATTCCATCAAAAGGAGGTTGGCCTGAGAAGCCCCTCTGGCCTTTTAGGCACCTGAGCTGTTAAAACAAAATCCAAGTTAATATACTCAAATGGAGGAAACACACACACATACCCCAACCTCTACACACCAAGAAAGCAAATCTTTCATGTTTAAGGAAGAAGATACCTTGACCTTTTTCTATTTACAGATATAATCAATAACTACCAATTTTTGAGTGCCTTCTATGTGTTATACGATGGGCACATAACTTATTTTAATTGAATCATCACAACAGTCCTATGTAGTAGATTTTATTATCCTCATTCTATAGATAAGGAAATGAAGAATTAGGTAGAGTAACTTGCTAAAGACATACAATTAATAGCACAGTTTAGATTCAAATTGAATCTTCATTACACTAGAGACAATATAACGAATTCCATGTACCCATCACCTAATTTTGACAACTAACACATATCATGGACAATCTTGTTACATTATACCCCTCTTGGCCCTGGACAATTTTGAGGTAAGCCCCAGACAGCCTATCAGTTCACCTATAAATATTTCACCTGTATTTCTAGAAGATATGAACTTAAAAGATCATACTCTTAACTATCACACACACTATCTTGAGAGAGCATGTCTCCACAATTCTGTAAATGCTGAAAATGATTTACAAATCATTCAAATTTGCTAAGAACATCCATCCTGTCATTAATATAATAACCCCAAAGACCACCATATTATCACTAACAGTTAGGACTTCTTCCCACTCATGATGTTCCCTTCTGTGTGGCGGAAGTGCCAGTCATGTACAACATTTCCGCCTTCTCTCCCCAGCTCCTTCTGGGGAAAAGCAGGGACTTCTTTCTCAGGGAGAGGAATGGCATGCACTGCTTTTTCCTCTCCTTCCAACTTTGGGAACCAGGCTCTGTTTCTCTACCCCTGGAGTTTCACAGGGCTAGAACCTCATGAGGAGTGGGCTGAGGTCAAATGCTACTACGTGTTACTTGGTGGGCAAGCCTGACTAATTCTAGAGTTTAGTATTAAAAAACTGTTGTCCCATTTAAATCTAAACCACGTTTTCCAAAACCGGTTTTATTCAGGCTTAAAGGTGATTTCTTTTCATCATCTGCCACTTCTTTGCTTAAGTTTCCTCAAACCCCCAAATCCGCCACCACAGATACTACCACTTCCGTTAACATAATTAAGGTATCAGCCCTGTCCTCAAGAGTTACGCTTTAAATATAAAGGTGAATTTTGATTTTCTGTCACATATTTCATTTCTGCCATACACCATGAATTTTCTCCTAAAGTCGAAGAGTAAAAAAACAAAAACAAAAACACAATAGTTAGCTACCAAAGATCTACCTTGACTATTAAGAATCTTGTTGAAACATACTCCACGTGCCTTCCCTCATCCTTGTTTCTCAGGGACAAACTCCTAGTCACTAGGAGTCACTAGGACAAACTCCTAGTCTTTTGAATCATGATGTAAGGCCATGTGAAATATTCAGGAAATATTACATATGCTTTCAAAACTAACGGTTCTGAGAATAAAGACATTACAGCCTTGCCATAATACCTCCCAGCTTTCCTGACAGACTCCCAGGAAGAAATGAAGAAACCTCAGCCCTTCCCTGCTTGTATGTGACAATGGGAAACGGGAGAGATGCTGGGATTAAGTACAACGATGTCTGGCCTAAGGAGACCTTCAACTATGAAGAAATCCCTGTGCCCTAGACCAAGAGGAAAAAATTATAGTAAGGTCCAATGTAATTTAAATAATACCTTTCTCCTTGGCAGAAGAGAAGGGATCTAAACTTGGAGTTGAATATTTAGGAAAGCGTCACAGAGCACCACAAAAACCTCCTCAAGGTTGTGATACTCACTGCATTATTACAACTGCCACGTTCTGATGCAATATCCTATCACATTGCAACACATGATTTACAGCTCCCAATGTAAAATTAAGTCAGTTAATCTCTTCCTTTCTTTTTTCCCCAGACCCTTTTGAAGAAATAATATGGAACACGTATCTTCCTTCTTCCTGGCTGTCATGAAGAAGGAGTATGGCAGAAGAACCACAACTTCCCAATTGTTTGGAAAGCTGTGGCTTTCCTTTGCTCTAACACAATTTATTGCAATTAAAATACGCAGCCTCGTATCAGATGCAATTGTAGAAAAAAACTAGGTTGAGAGGTCATTTCCTCAACATCAAAGGACTCTATTTGAGAACTGCTAATACAGACTAGCAAAGGCAGAGGAATTTTGGGTGGGGAGGAAAAAAAGGTGAAGGTAAGGGACTGTCTGGTAAACTCCAGCTATCCTCTGGACTTGAGTGTGCATACTGGTTCTGATGAGCGAAGAGGCCTGTATAGGCCCTGGTAGTGGGCATTTGGGCAAGGAATTCCAGGGTACTGAGTACCCAGAGTGTGATCTAGAAGGGGTAGACTTCAGGTAGGTGTGTCCTCTGGGAGTCCTCATTCTGTGGAGAGGGGTTTGGCTGGAAGAAGGCCACAGCTGGGCCTCTAACGTGTAGGGGTTAGGGGTCCTGGCTGCCTGGCTGTAAATGCTGTACTGCTTATCTTTACTACCAGACTTTCAGGAGCTAATTATATTTAAACAACAACAAAAAGCAGACAATCAACCTTCCCAACACCCTTAACCCTAAAAAAAAAAAAAAAGAAAACAAACCATTCATGGGTTTTACCAGTAGCAAATTTAAGATTAGCGTATTTCAACATATGATCCACTGATCTGCATAAGGAGAACTGAGGATACCTGTTGAAAATGTAGACTCCTTCTAAAAAAAAACTGTAGACCCCCCTCTTCAGCCCTAAGGATTCAAAATCCTAAGAGTTGGAAACCCCAGAATCTACAAGTTTTACATGCATCTCAGGGGACTCTGATACACAGCCCTCTGTATCTGTGAGTTCAACCCATTGTGGATTGCAAATGTTCAGGAAGAAAAAAGGGATGATTGCATCTGTACTGAACAAATACAGACTTTTTCCCTTGTCATTATTCCCTAAACAATACAGATGAGAAGTATTTACATTGTATTAGGTGTTCTAAGTAATTTAGAGATGATTTAAAATATATGGGAGGATGTCTGTAGGTTATATGCAAATACTATGCCATTTTATTATATACAAGGAACTTGAGAATCTGTGGACTTTGGTATCCATAGGGGTCCTGGAACCAATCCTCCACAGATACTGAGGGATGATTATACTGTAAAGTTTGAGAATCACTGTGGTAGACCCTCGGTTCAAACCAAATGGGGCTGAGCCAGAAAGGAGTTGATTTAGCTGAAATGGAACTCTTAAACATTAGGACAAAGTGCTTCTGAACTAGGAACATCTATCTGCCTTGTGTGTGTCTGGCATATAAAAGTGGATGCCATCTTTCCAGTAGTACAAACAAGCTGTTCTGGGCCAGCTCCACCATCTGGTGGTTGACACAGGATACTTTGTTTAAACAGTCTTTTTCTGGAACTTTCTGCTAGTAGACAGATAGGGTTGAAAAACGTATACGTTCAAAAAAGCTAAATAATTCTGATGCAGATCCCAGAATAAGGACCACTACTCTACACAATGGTTTTTGTCTGTTTTTTGGTTTTATATGAGATCTCTTCGGGTCTAACAGGGGATCAGGAATCTGACTCACTCTGTCTTGAAAAGTACATATACATAATTTAGCAAATACTTTCGAGGCCCATGTCTTTCCTAATTTTTGGATAAATGCTATAGGAATCTTCATGACACTGAGCAACAACAAAAATTCTTTACTCGTGAAATGCTGGTAATAAAAAAAAGTATTATGTTTCCAGGCAAAATAGACATAGGTTTTATACTCACTGAATATGCCTGGATATAACTTTGAGATTCACCAAGGAAACAGAAGCACCAGGACTCTCTGGAATTTTAAGTAAAGTGGCTCTTCTCTGGGGAATCTTGGGATTCCTCAAAGAAGGGTCTCAGCCAGATCACCCTACAATGAAGATAATGATTGACAGACAAGTCCTATTCAAGGACTCAGAGCTTCCTGTCAGCTTCTTAGTTCCCCAGTCTTAAAGTCTGAGCAGAGTCAAATATTGCCTACCAGAGATTTGAGGATAGCATCTAAGAGAAGCTAGGAAAAAAGGCAACTAGGAGGAAAGAGACTATCTGAGAAGAAGAAATCTTAAAAATCGTTTATTCCCTCTGAAGACACTGCATCTATGTAAAAAGAACAGGATGCCCCCGAAAAGGAAGTCTTAAACATAAATTTCTCAAAGCTCAAAGTCATGAGCTTTGAGATTCAGAAGGCCTATCAAGTGTCCAGGACAATGGATAAAAAGTAGACCTATACCATGGTACATTACAATGAAATTTCAGGACACCTGAAACAAAGAAAAGATAGAGCTTCCAGCCAAAACTGAAAACACGTTTTATATAAAAGATTAAGAATCAGAATGGTACCGGACTTTTCAACTATAAAAGACAGTGGAGCAGTGCCTTCAAACTTCTGAGAAAAAATAATTTCTAATCTACATAAAAAATTCATAATTATCTTTTCAATTTTTTAAAATTCTCAAACTACCAAATAAGTGTGAGGCTAAAATAAGAGTTAAAAGCTGCATGGCCTTTTTTGCTTTTTAAACAACTTTTGGGTCAACCATGAGACTTGAAATCTGATAAAACCTTTTTATGGTTTATCTCTTATAAACCTTTCTTCCAGAAGGTAGGTGATGTGCTCCACCAAAATGAATTACACCAAGAAAGAAATAGATATCTTTTGTCTTTGACCAAGGGAAGAGGAAGTACAAAAGTGAGGCAAAAGGAATCCCTAGGGTGATGAAAAATGCCCCTAAGATGACAGCTATGCAAGAGGCCTAGAGGCATCCAGCCCAGCCCAGACTGAAAGAAATGAAATAAAAATGTATGGATGAACCTCACAAACAATAAAAAAGGTATGAATCTGAGTGAAAGAAGCCAGACATAAAAGACCATATATTGTATGGATTCCATTTATATGAAATGTCCAGAATAGGCAGTCTATAGAAACAGAAAGTAGATTAGTGGCTGT